ATTGAGTATACTTTAAACCAAAATATATTGTTAGTATTTTAAAAAAACCACACTTATCCAAACTTGTTTTTCACTGGTGTACATATATTTCATTAAAAAACACAAACACCACGTAATCATAAATTACAAAACTTCTTAATATTCTCGTATTAATCCTTGTAGGAGAATGTTAATTATTTGTCGATTCTCAAGAAAAAGTACAAGAATGGATAAAAAAAACATTATAATAATTGCTACAAATGTGTTATTTAACAGTAATAATAATATATATTTCAATTCTATATTTTTCTTTAAATTCGCAAATAAATTTAACAAAGTAAGATATTAGCTGATTTATTTAGAAAATATTAAACAGCCATCATTAGCTGTTTATCATCATGTCATGAATTATCGCCGGGTAGACACACTCCGGGGACGACTATCTTTTTTTTTTTTCAACGAATGACGAATTTACGATCGCGAGTATCTGTGCTTTCGGTTTTCCTGAAGCACGACCAGCGAGCCGTGGACTTTCGCATAATGCCGCGGGAGCTTAAGACAATTCGATAAATAATGAGCCAGCGACATGTTTATGCGCTCGCGTGCCTGCGTCCAATGAATCGTCGAGTAAACACGGAGTCCGCAAAGTACGGCCCTACCGCGCCGAAGGGAATTATTCGAGGATTTATTCCTCCGTCTTTCTTCCGCTTCGTCCCACCGTGGCTCTCGAGATATCAGATAGATTCGCGACGATAACGATATGACTCGAATTAAAAATAAAATTTCCTGAAATATCCTGAAGATTAAAATGTATTGTAATTGATTTGAAATTCTCTTGATACATCAAATTATTTCTTGTTTTTATTGATAATTTGAAATACGCTGATCTTTTTTTAATTATTTAAAGTCAAGTCGGAAAAGATAACTTTTTTCCTATGAAGGACATCAATTCTAAATTCACTCGTAAATTCAGGACTAATAATAAATATAACATTTCGAGATAATTAATATTTGGTCGCTGAAAAACGTGAATATCCATTTCATATCACACGCGGTCGCGTTTATCGCTAAACATATATAACAATGTGCAATCCCGTATCTATTCTTCTCATTCGAGTCTCGTGAACGCGTTGAAGATTAACGCAACGTTTCAAGCCGGCGAGTTTCGAAACACGAGAAGCGAGATGCGCCGCGCGGAGAAAACGACGTCGCACACGTCGGCGGAATCTTTTGTGTTTGCGTTTGAATTATTATGCGACGGCGGATTGCGCCAGAGACGGTCACGACGGCGCGTAAAATATTTAGACTTAGTAATCAGGCTGTGTGTCTCCTCCTCGCGCGCCTTCGTCCGGTGGAAATTCAAAATTACGTAATTCGCGTACGAGGCGCGAAACAATGAAAACAATAGCTACCTAGGAACGGCAAACAAATCTCTGCAAACCGAGGGGACTCGCGCGCCGGGCTCGATTCATCGAACATCTGTTCGCGAAATTCTACCAGCCAGACGATTGAAATAAGTCAAAATCGACAGATGCTATAAACAAACTCTTCCACATCCGATTAGCGTCTGTATTTGAGTCAAAGAGAACTCGGTGTAAAAACTCCGATAAGACGTTTTAACAAAACTGCTATGAAAACAGCTGTTTAACATATTTTGAGCCAATTAGTTGATATTTTGCTTTGTTGAATTTATTTTGAATTAGTGTGTGTGTATAAAATTGAAATATACTATTGATAAATAGCACATTTATTTTGTTCAGCATTTAGAAATATCTAGAAATGGTATCAAGATATCAAGTTATCGAGTGAGAGAAACATAAAATAAAGTAAAAGAACAAGTACTAAAAGCAAAATAGAACAGCAAGATATCTCAAGAATACAATACGGCGGAGCAATACATAAGAAGATAGACAAGAACAAAAATTTACGAAAGAAGAACAAGATCTATTCGGCGAAGATCAGATCTGACATCAGAAAAAACGAAGATCCTCCGTTAATTTAATTTAATATAATTTTATCATTGATTTAAAAATGCGGTAAGGCGCTTCTTTAATTCTGCGTAAGGTCTGTGTTGAGAAATATAATTTTTTGCATGCAATTCGAATTTATATAAAGAAAAAAGAAGATCCTATGCATGTAGAACATAAATTTTGCAGATACATTGTTGCAATACAACTGCAAAGTTTTGTACCGCAGGGTACACTTTAATCATTTTTTTACTTTTAATTCTTAAACACAGAATGCAATCAACTATATCTCTTTTCAAAATTATCAAAATCAGAGTAATAATAACACCAGACTAATTGATACACCAAAACCTGCTCTCCAACATACAAGAAACCACGAGTCTCGACAGATACCTAACGCGATTTTTTCACGCCCACGCATCGAACGGAGAATCGAGCCACATCTCGATCTTCGAAATGCCCATCTCGCCTCTGGCGATCCTCGAGCGTCATCGGCGATCATAAATCTCGGGGAACTCAACGCCAATCATCCTGCTGCGGGTTAGCCTCGCTGAAACGAGGCGAATGAGCAACATCTTCTGGTCGCTATCGTCCTCGCTTGACAATAGGGCCTCGTCGGAGGCTTTGTCGATGATCGATAAGCCACCCGGTACGACGCACATTTCTCTTTCTTTTTCTCTTTCTCTTTCTCTCGAATGAATGGTAAAACATGCAAAACGGCAGAAAAAAGACGGATGCGTTTGCAATAGAAACTCAGATATCAATCTTCACCGAAAACGGCAGATGATCATTAGCGATTATTGTCGAGACTCGAAAGAAAACACAATTCTAAGATCTCAAAGGTTCAGATCTCTTTGATTAACCAGCATCAATTTTTCTAATTTTGATTTCTAATATTTACAATCCGCAACTATCCTAGAACATCCCGTAACCAAATGCTTCTATTTCCGATACAATAGCATCTCCTTTCAGCAGCGAATCAGTGTCGAAATTAACCCAATTCAATATACAGGCCTCACGTGACGTACAGTTAACCGTAAGAAACACTTCTGTAACAGTTAACTTGTTAGTACGTAAAAATTATAGAATTTTAATGTACAAGCTTAAAAAGAAATAAAGTAAGTGAGTGTACTTCGCGAGTGTGCCGTAACGCGAGTGTATTTATAACTTTTCTAATACGTAGAAGCAATACGTGGTAAACCACAATGCATTGTAAAAAATTCGGTAAATTTACACAACCAAGTTGTAAAAATTATACGATAAATAATAGAAATATATAGTGTAAATTTACATAATTTCATAAATTTTACACTATTTATTTAGTATATTTCCGTTATTTATCATACAATCTGACAATTTAGTTGTGTAAATTTACCGAATTTTTTACAGTGTGAACTTTGTTATATTAAATATATTTTTAAGTATCTGTGCTGCCTAAAGCTAGTTGTATTTCGTGAAACAAACCATACACTTAATCCACTATCACATCACTTACATCACACGACAACATCGTTTCAATTAATAAGTATCCATAAATTATAAAGATCATAAAACAAAACATCGGTTATAAAACTTATAGGTTTTGGACACAGACATGTGGATAAAGTGTAAGTAACGTCAATAAGATACATCCGTATACAAATTATTCATATACCCTCGTGCGTATGTTCTAATATATAGGGATGGCTGGTAGCATGGGACAACCTGGAATGGGCTCTTATTACGGTCCGGCAGCGGCTTACGGATCCCTCTCGGCGGCCAGCATGGCCGCGGCCGCGGCAGCGGCTGCACAGCAGTCGGCGGCAGCCATGTCCGGTCTCGCGGCACCTGCTCAAGTAAGTCGATAAATAATTCTTTCACGCGATCAAGTATGTGCGTATATGCGTACGCGACGGTGCATTGAGACAACGTTACGCTAGGATTGTCCGGACACGAGGATTGTTCACAGAAAATTGGCCAATGTGCTCAATCCTTGGATTCAATGATCAAAGTTTGAAAAGACTTGATCATTGTCGAAACATCAAATTAAAAAAAATAAAATTACATAAGTATATTAGAAATTAATTTCATACCCTAAAATCTCATTTTTAAATGTTTGTTCCAGTTTTGGTATAATTCATATGATCCATATGATCTATATTATCCACATTGTGTTCAGTATAATAGATGACAGAAGATAAATTATATAGATGACGTCGGTTTTTAATTTGAGATATCTTGTTGCCTACAATGAAAACTAACATCCAACCATAAGCGCGAAAACAAGAATTCTTCTTATTGATAGCAAAAGTAAATAAAAAAGTGTAAGATAACAAGAAAATAATTTCAGTAAATAATTTTTTTTTTAGATAATTAAAGTTGAGTCACATTTAAAATTTGCTCTCAAAGAATACTTCTTTGAAAAATTATTAGAATGCTTCTTTGAAATTTATCTATACTAAAATTATTTCTGTAATATTTTTTCGAATTTATATTTTTATATTTTTTTATTTACAAAATTTACTGTGATTTTTCTTCTTCTAAATATATTGTTATTATTGTTATTTAATATATTGTTATTACTAGCACTTATATCTTGCTTTTGACTTGGTAGTTTCTTTGTCTTCTTATTAAAGCTTGGTCAATAAAAAATATAAAAAAAATAAATACTAAGACGATCTGAAAAATTCCTCTTATACAATTCAATGTAAAAAATTTAATGCCAATCTTAATTATTTAAAGAAGTTAAGGTTATTCATTAGAGGTAGGTCTAGTAAGATTTTTGTAATTATGTAAGATATAAAATGCAAGTAATAATAATGTGTCTTCTGAATAAGACTATCATATCAGAAGTTTAAAAAATGTTAAAAATATCTCAGGTAGTACATGTTTGTTTCATATACGTTTGCTAAGCGTATTCAATGTATTAATATATGTACATTTAGGATGTGCTGCCTGGGATCTTTGTAAAACAAAGTACATATATGACAAGGTCGGAAACTTCCTATCACTCGGGATGTGGAATTCCAAGTACAAATAGGGGGGGGGGGGGCGCAAAAAATTTTGCAGATTTGTGCGTATATATGTAGACTACATGTATTTTTTATATATTATAATTAACATTTATTAAATACTATATGTATATATGTAAATCTTATTTAAATTTGTTATTATCGCGTCTCGTGTGATGTCGCAAAAATACTTGCTCTGAGCGTATTTCTTGATATAAATTTATTGTCATAGACGGGTCTAAATATTTTATGTGAGAATATATTTTAAATACGCCATGTTCGGCGTGTGGAATTCCACACCTTCAAGGAATCGAGGTGTGGAGTACTTACATACCTTCCATAAAGGCCCTGCATATATGTACTCAACTTCTTTGTAATATTTATGTTTTTTTTTGAAAATATTTATTTTTATTTATTTAATCCCCTTCTGTTATTATACGCTACCTATATAAAAGATTGTATTTTATATAAAATATATTGTAGAATAAAAATTTATAAATCATAATTAAAAGGACGAAAATTAACACGCAGATATTAACTGATAAATATCTACTGGAGTAAAAATTTATTGGAGTAATTTCATTTGGAGATGCATTTAGTTGCATTAGGTTGCATAGAAATACTCGATCTCTAAAGAGAGGAATTAGCGAGCCGTCTTCGCTCAGGTGTTTCTATTCCATCGGCAGCGTTAACCCGGCGACATTTCGAGCGACGCGCCACAAAGTCACAATCACAAATCCATTTATCTCGCGGACAATTGGCGACTGGACGTATCGAGTTCGCGAGACAGATCGCCGGCCGCGTAAATAAAGCGAAAGGAGGAGAAAAAGCGAAGAGAGATGGATCGCGCGCGCGCGCGCGCGCGCGCGTTCGCGAGAGGAAGAGTCGATTCGGAGAGGAGGAGGAGGAAGGATGAGGGTGGAAGCGGAAGGTGGAAGCGAGATCGGAGAGGGACGCGGGAGAGTACGTTTCATTCGTTGTCGCAACAAAGGAGGCCCCCGGGTGGCTTCGCAAACAGAAACCGGAGACCGTGGTCTGTGTATGAATTTCCGCAGCTGGCTACGGGAGACAAACAGATAGCTAGTTATTTCTGCATTCAACGGCTGAATGGCCGACGCGTCTGGAACGACGCACCGGCGCGATACAAGCGACCATTATTGGCGAACACCGGCGGCGAGCGGCACGCTCGAAGAATTCCCAACGTTATCTTCGCCCGGCCGAGTTCGAGCTCTTTCTCTCTCTTTCTCTCTCTCTCTCATTCGCTCTTTCTCTCCGGCTCATCTGCACCACGAAGAAACGCGATCGCGAAACTTCCTAGGGAAAAAGGTCAGCTTTTAACTCTTGCACGACCAAATTTAGTCGAAAGTTTACGAAAAGAAAGATCGCCGGAGCTTTCTATAAGAAATTCGCGTGTGTTGCTTCCCCATGTAATGCATTTTTTCAAGGAAGAATATATCAATATGTATATCAATTGAATATGTACATGTATGTATATGTTGAATTCAATTGTATTTTAAATCATAATTTTTTATGGATGGTTATATTGACAAATATTTAATAGGTACTGTGACGAACAATTCTATGATAACAAGAAAACTAACAGAAAAAAAGCTATATGAATCAAACACGGGTGTCGGGAGATGCAAAAGATATTATAAATCAATATAAAATAATACTACAAAACCGTTTCGACTCAATTTTAGATTTTCAGTTTGATAAAACGTAATCGGTAATTGTGATCACGTACGAATACCGTAGAGTAAAACGTTTTTTGTAGTGTTATTCTGCATTAATTTCCGCTTTGCGCTCCGATACTCGCGTTTGATTCTCATAACCTTCTTTTCGGTTAGTTTTTTTTTGAAAAATTTAACAGAACGCATTTTTACACGTTTAACCAAATGAAATCTGATCACACAAATTTATAAATTGCCGAAATTACTGCAATTTCCAAATTTTTTACAATCTTCTATTATTAGGAGATTAGAAGTCACGTTTCGTTTTTACAACAGATCTTTCAAAGAAAATCAAATTCTTAAAAAACATTAATGCAAGATGTTGAAATATCGAGGGCCCTATGACACAATGCAGTATGCGAGGGAGTTAACTTTCTCGTTCTCCCTGCATACTCCCACCCGCTCTTCGAGGCCATTTGGAAAATAAAGTGCGCTCATTCTCTTTCGCTCTCTCGACTTCGACGACACATGGCACGAAAAGAGAATGCCTGGTCTTTTGTGAAGCGAAAACAGAGGCGAATGGTATACGGTGTCATTGTCCTCTTTAACAGCAACACATCGCGCTGGATAATTAAGTCTAGAACGGTGACGAAAATAAAAAGAAATGGACCATTGCGACAATGACTCAAACAAGACGCCGGTATGATGAGACTGACAAATTTTGGACTACACATAAGAATACTCTGGAACTGGATTTAATTACGCAACATACAGCAATCTGGCCTTTTGAAATTTTTTACTGAATATCATATAATTTACCTTGTTTTGGATAAGCGTGAAAAAAGATTCGGTAAGTTACTCTTGAAAATATTTTCAATTTATTTTTGTAAGTGTTATAATGATACCAAAAACAAATTTATTTTGACCTACAATTTTACATTTTCATGTAACCAAGTTTCCTAATTTTAAATTTTACAAATCGATGAAGTAATTCCTATTTCCAAATTATTTGAAAAAAAATTTACATTCCACTTGACAAACTGCAATCTGACTACAACCTGACAATCATCAGACTGCCGTTGACAAAATGCATATGAATGCACCGTGATGATCGGAGGAATCGTCGCAATCGGCCGGATTTTCACGCGAATATCTCAACGTCGCGCGGTGAGGCGGAATTTTTTAATTTCTGGACGACGCGTTACGATTCGCGAGTCACCGAGAAGCAGCGGAGCGGAGCGGGACGGAGGGATTTCGAGGCGAGAGAAGCCGAGCTGTAATCAATTGGTCGTAGCGGGCGAGAGAGACTTAACGTTGCTAAGACTGGATGTAAATCATCCGGACAAAGCCGCTTAACGATCCGACAAAGGATCCCGCGCGCCGGTCCTTCCTTCGTCCACGAATTATAGAATCGGGAATACGCGCGCAACGTTAGCTTCTCGCCTCTCCGTTTCCTTTTTTTTCCTTGAGCACCGGTCTCCCCCCCTTCCTCGACTCGCGGCAGCGAGTCTAAATGTGCTTGGACCAACGTGACGAAATTTATGGCCATTGGCAGCGTTGTCTTCGACATAGAACAAATCTCCGGGTCGCGTCGCGGATCCCCCGATTTCGCGATTTGCGCGCCGACCGGGTCGGATGCGTCATCTCTCGAATTTGTCGCCTGTTTTTTTTTTATTCTCCCGGTTCCCGTTTTCCTAAAGTCTGTGCGAAGACTAATGGCAGGAGTCTTTTAGATTTTATTGAGATCTCTGTATCCTTAAAACTTTAGGAATTCTTGTTGATAAATCATTTTATAAAGGAAATCTACATTCGAACGGGATACAAAAAATAAGGCAAAAAAATGTAATATGTATCCAGAAAGCTCATCGCAATTACACACTATAACAACAATACTCAAATCATCATGAATCATTTTTGTTTTTGTTTTTTTGTGTAAATGCCATTTACTAATAATTAGAACACTTTGAAGTTTGCTGTTTGCTTGCTTAATTAATTAAAGCAAACATAATCTTCAAAATGCAACTAATTGTCAATAACTGCATAGTGTACAATGTTATAATCTTGTTGAAATATCGGTAGGTAGAATGAAACTAGGATTTTGTGTGTAAGACCAATTTTATTCGCACAGCTAGACGTCTCCTCTTTTCTATTGCAGGTGGTGAGCTCAATGGACGCTATGAAGTACTCGATGGAGGCTGACAAGTATCGCTACATGCCGCCCAGCACCAGCCTGGCGATGAGCATGTACCCGGACCCCAAGTACCTGGACTCGAATCCTAAAAGCTATCTGGACCGCAGCTACCTAGATTCGGCGAAAGCGTACCTCGAGCAGTCGAAACTCTACATGGATCAAAAGCCAGCATCGTTCGCCGATTACAATCGACCGGCCGGTGGCTACGAGCCCAACAAACTTTACGAAGAATCCAGCCCGGCGGGCAGCGTCGTCGGCGGTGGCAGCGGACCCGCGCGATCGCCCGCCGCGGAATCGCCCGACACGAGCAAGCAACACGAACGCACCGAGCAGGCGTCGTCGAGCGCGAGCTCGACGTCGACGTCGTCGGCCGCGAGCCCGGGCGCAACCCTACCCGCGTACTATCCCGGCCCGGTGCAAGCTGGCGGTCTGCTGGGCCCGCAAATGGGCCAGTACGGCGGCTATCAGACCGCGCCCGCGCCGGGCAACGAGTCTTTCCGCCGGCCACTCACGGTCATCTTCTGACCCGATAGAGCGTAGCTCTGATCCATCCTCGAGGAGCAGTCGCTATGATCGATGGATCAGGATGTTGTGATTGGCCACCGCGGATAAAAATCCACTGCCCGCGGATCGATGATTACGGGGGAATACATCGGGACGGGACGTAATGTCCCACGCATCGTCGAGAAGAAAATAAAAACAGCCGCTGCGAAACTCGCTGGATCGTGAAATGGCTACCGCGGATTGAACGGGACGAAGAGTGAAACGTTCGTGTGTGTAAAGTTCTACGAAAAAAAATTCTCTCTCTTAGCTCGATGAATTTTCTCATTATATTAACGTTCGCGAATTTCGTCCGACGGCCGTTGACGGTCGTGCCGATAGCTCTAAAATTATCATCAAGAAGCAGTCGCTGTGTGATCGCTGGATCGTGATGGCAACTGCGGATTTAACGGAACCGGATATTACGACGATGAAGAGCCGAGCTGATTTCTCGGAATTGCGATGGCTACTGTAGAATCAACGGAAAAGAATGACGCGCTCTAATTTCTCGAGTATCACGAATCACCAATCCAAGGATCGAAGATATGCACCCGAAACGGATGTATTGTGATACGTCCACGAGAAGAGCAGTTGTTAGTTGGATCGTGAAATGGCTGTCGCGCATTTGACGGAGCAGAAGTGTAATATTACGTGTGATAGAGTTTTAGAAAATATCCTTTTAATTTTTTTAGATGAATTTTTTGGTTTCCATCACATCTCCCGACAATGACAACCGATAGTTACTTCCTCATCGTAGTTCAGCCACGGATTGAACAAGAACTCGCACCAAATAAAGAAATCCTCAGTTTTGGAAAAGGTGCTAGCAATCTTTGAAGAACTTTAATAAATGAGACGACGATAGCTCGAGAGCGATAGATGGAAATCTCACTGGATCAATTAAACGATACGTCGAGAATAAAGTTATGCAGGTAAAAAATTATTTTAGAAAACGATTCGACATCAACCGCGTTCGCAACGATCGATCTGGGAGAGTTGCATCGAGAGATTAGAAAGGATTAAACATTTTCCCGATGATTAATTGTAATCAATTTTTCGCTCTAACTACAAGATTAAACTCGACCAATGCGCATACGTGCCCCGCAATTTCTTGCGCCAAAAATACAATTTTCTCAGTATTAATAGCATATACTATATTCACCGCGATAATTTTGATTGTTATAACAAATCAATTCATATAAATTACTTAACAAGATGCTACACATAAAGCAAATCAGCAGAATTAACATTTTTTTCGCACTCAAAATTACATGATTAAAACATTTAAAATTAAATTGAACGAGCAACTTTAAAACAAAATAAAAAAGCATGCAATTTTACGTTTTTCGGTCAATTTTATGACGTTTCAATTAATTTGGTTTTTTTTTTATTATTTTTCAGGGCAAAATTTACAAATATTATATCAGTATCGACAAATTTAAGCTGACCAATTCCCATCTGGTACGCGACGATTCTCGTACCATTGTATTTTTGGCGTCGTAGATATTCATGATTCCCACTGATGTGCGCGCGACGGATAATTTTGGAGAAACCAAGGACGATGTAACGACGATGAAATGTCGTTGCGGATAACAACGAAGACAAGAGAGGACTCTCCCTCTCGCTGTATCGTCAGCTGACTAGTCTTGATCGTGAGACCATATTAAGAACACACACAATTGTACATAGCCCCTGTGTAAATAGTGTAGCAAAAACTTGGCTTTTTCCGGGTCTCCGCGCGCGAATCCGCTTTCTTACGGAGTTTCCATTGCGGAGCGCAGAGAATCTCCAACGTGGCCTCCGACGAGAAAGCAGTACAAATGGAACCGTGTGCATGCGCGGTGTCCGAAATCTGCTACGAGCATTCTGTTGCGTTGGAATAACGTAAGCATATTCTTTCTTGTTTATTGTTTCTTTTTCTCTCAACTCTCAACCGGCACGACAAACGTATTTAATCGCTTGCACAAGGCAACGGAAAAATAATAAGACTAATCTTTTTTTCACGAACTAGCAACATTGCAGACTACGTCGAGCCGAGAGCAACATTCTTACACTAACTTCTGTACAAGTTTCAATTCGCTAGTGCAAACATATGGTTCTACAATCATCTGTATTAATGTGTTGGTAATGCGTCTCGAAAATGAAAAAAATATCAAACAACTTTATATAATCAAGTTTTCTATAATACTAAAAAAGAATCTCACCAAAACGTATTTAAAAATCTATTTAAAAAAATGATTTTTTTATCTCGTGCATAAATCTTTCTGTTGACACAAGATATTTTTTAAAAACATTTGAAAGATAAGCTCTCGATTTGAGTGCTTTATTTAACATATAAAGACCAGCATTTGTCGAAATCGATGACAATGCAAATAATCATTGAGAAAAAGACTTTTATGAGTTTTTTTTCCTCGGTAAATCGTGAAATCGTTATGTACAAATAATCAATAATGTAGAACCAAGCGTGATCAAGCTAGCAAATTGAAATTTGCGCAGAAGTTAGAGTAAAAATGTAGCTTTCAGCTTGACGTAGTCTTGTTTTTGCTAATTCTTCAGAAAAAAATATAGTATCATTATTTTTCTGCTCGTGCAATACGTTCGAGCTGCAAAAGCTTAGCAGTTATGTTCGTATAATTCTAGAATTGTAAGATGTTACTTTCTAACTCACGCGTTAAAAGTGAAAGTAATTTTATCATCGAGAATTTTCGTCAGTAATTTAATTACTTTAATTACTCAAAATCAGTGTCTCCGGTTGCAGATTGAAAACTTGGATGTCGTCCTTCTCTGTACCATTAAATTTGTGAGTATAAAACTTCACAAGAAATTCCACTCTATCTATAATTGTATTTTTATTAAATGTATGAATTCCATTTTTATTTTTATTAAGTAATTATATTTAATTTATATTTTTACATCGCAAAACATTTCGACTAAAATTTGTAATTATCAACACACATTCTTTTTATAATTTCTAAGCGATCTACTACACATTAGAAATATTTATTATTAATTTCTTAGATAAACATTCTATAGAGACAATGATTAAAAATTAAGATGTTAAGTACCATATTATAAATTTTAGAAATATACTCTTGTTAATTTCCTAACTGACAGAAGCGCCTTTTGTTTCTGCCTTGGGATATGTTGGTTACGTTCTGTTTTTCTTTTTTTCTCTAATGAGGACACAGCTATATTGAAACTGTTCGGAATGGTTTTCGATCAGAATAATTTAGTTTTCCTCTAAATATTTCTAGATATTCTATTATATGTATATTGAGTTATATGTAATAAGTAATTTTTCGGATTTTTCAATAGATAGTATTATTGTTTTTATGCAATACGCTTAAAAAATCGTGATACGGGCGGAACTTGATTACGAATTCTATTGAATAAATAAATATTTAATTCGCGTGTTAATCAAAATGCGCTTTGCCTGTCAAAAAGAGCGGACAGATTTATTCGAAAAATCCGAAATTACTTATTACCCAATCTAACATTTAAAGAAAGACAAAATTATTTCAATCGAAAACTTTTCCAAAAAAGACGAAGAGATTGAAAGTCACAGAAGCAAGATGCAATTTTAATAATAGTGTTTTAAAAGATATGTGAAAAGAAATTTGTCATATCATTCTTAGTGTAACAAAGTTTCTCAAAATAACATATTTGAAAATTATGATTGCAAAATTATGTGTATTGAAGTTAAAATTCATCGAATGAGCGGCATAATACTGCTGCAGAAACAGAAATTATTTAACGGTTTAACTTTAACACAAATGAGAGCGTTTACACAGGGCCGGGCCAAGGAATTATGGCGCCCCGGGCATGAGATCCAAAAGTCGCCCCCCCTCCCTTTTTTTCCTTGTAGCTTTCTCGATCGCGTTTGCTATCCGCATTCGCTATCTTTTGTTCTAAGGCTTAGAACAGAAGATAGCGAACAAACATAAGTGGGGGACGGCGAGATAGTGGAGGCCGAGTCCCCATCCAGCGGACTCTGAAGGCTGCTCGCGAGCAAGCTTTTGGCCAGGCCTGGTGTATTCTGTTCAACGAGAAAAAGGACCACGCATAGGAAAAGCATAGCGGGCAAAGTGGGGAGAGCATCACCCGCTGTGGAGTAGAGGGGCTTTTTAAGCGTGAGGAGAGTTTCTCAGATAACGCAACGCTCTCCCCACTTTGCCTGCTATGCTTCTCCTACACGCACTGTCAGCTTTTCTCTCGTTGGACAGAGTATACATCAGCGCGTGCTGGAAAGAAAAGGGCCTAAGCTCAGGCGTGCAGTTCGGCTGCACTTACGAAAAAGCGCAAGCCGCATACGTGCAAAAACCCATCTGTGGACATAGATCTCTTCGGGACCCCCCCCCCCCCCCCACTGCCCTGGCGCCCCGGGCGATTGCCCAGGTCGCCCCACAGGCCGCCCCTGTGTTTACAATTGTTATTAATCTTATTAATATTTTGTGATTTTATTTTTTGCACTATTCCATATAATTTTGCAACCGTAATTTTTAAATGTGTTATTCTAACAATAAGTTAATGACTCGATAACATAGAGTATTATTTGATAAGAAATCTGTAAATATTTTTCACATCTTGCTCGTCTGTTTTGTTTTTTTATTTTGAATAATTATTCTAGCCTTCTCAATTTTTTTTCCGAACAATTTCACAATAGCTGCTCTCTGTTCGCTTCATAGTATCGATCAAATCGATTTTGTGAGGGAGAAAGTAAGCTGCGGAAAATATCCCGCTCGAAAAGCGGGACCTTCCTGCTACACAACGTGTAACCTTTGTATTCGTATCGTTACGATGAACCTTAAGCTGTATCGATTATCCGCGTATAACATTACAGGCGACAAAACTAAGATAATATAAATATTGTACCGTAAATAAAAAATAAACGTTAAATAACCTACGAAACGTCATGTGTCAACATTCTTTCTCCCAACTCTAGCATCAGTAACATTTAACATACAAAATTGAATCAATAATAATTTCCTTAAATAAATTCTTTTGTAAATAAGAACAATGTTAACGTCGATTATGTATACAACGTTGAAGGTGGAATATAATTGCGGGAATATTTCTCGGAATCTTGACAAAGAATCTTTCATACACGCTGACCCAGAAGAATAGTTTCTATGCGCATCCGGATCAAAAAGACTCGGCGTATACATGAATGAAGAGTTAAAGGCCGTATTTTGAAAAGATATTTTCCAGGATATTATGTATCGGCGAGAAGAAAAGAAAAGTTTGTCTTGGCCGGAGTTCGATTCAGCGCGACACTGGTGTGCACCAGTCTAGCTTCCATTCGCGGGCCCATTCGTAGTTCTCAAAAGAGAGAATCTTGGTATTTACCTGACTGAAAAGCGTGTAAGGTGGTTCACAGATTCGGGGAGTGGCGCGTGAAGGTGCGAACGAATAAATGGCTCAAGTTTCCAAATGGTGGTCGCGCGCGATCGCAGCTGCCGGTTCTTTCTATCATTGACAATAGACGAGCGCAACGGCGGTGTCGAAGCCTTCTTTAGTCTTTTCCGAGCGTCAAGTTTCGACGCGCATTGTGCATCGATGCACAACGGCCGCGATTTACTTTAACGAATGGTGCGAGTAATTTTGCAGTTTTAAATACGAGCATTGAAACGCATTGAACATTTCTGGAAGACTCGAAAACATTTAATATCAAAAAATATAATATTCTAGATAATATTTAAAATGTAGAATATTTTTAAAAATACAGTGCTTTAAGAAAATTGAATAAATCTTGAAATCTTAAAAAATATCTTTAAAACTTGTTAACTACATTTATTAATCATTTTCATATATTTTTAGTCTTTATTGTAAAAATAGTTCTGTAAGTTTAAAAGTTTACACTGTCACACGTTTAATAAATTCGTTCGTGCAATCACTATGTTTAAAAAAAAAGGATAATTCAAAATAAAATATAAGACACTTACAAAAGGATGAGAGTCAGATTTTCAATGTTTCTTTTTATCATCCCTATCGAACACGTACAATCAATTCCAAAAAGGTTCATGACACTTTAATAGTTAGAGGAGTACCTAGCCAAAAGACGTAATGAATAGTTACACGTCACGGTGGTGCCGTTAATTTGCTGGCCGATGACTGGATAAAAAGGATGCGAATCACGGTAGCGTGCCGTCCGACGGACGACAACAAGATACCAACCGCGAGAACAGTGATTAGGGGATCCACGCACGCCCCCTCGGCAACGACAAACTGACAATTTTCACCGTCATTATCCTCTCAAGAGGCGCGTTCATTGTTTCTGATCCCAGAAGGATCGCCTTAAGCGCCCTTCGCCGGAGAGCACATGCGCGCTCCCGCGAACAGGAAGCGTGAAGGAGAACGCCGGGACTCTGCCGGCCTGCGATGAAACCGAGCGAAACCCTGACGCGTCGGAGGTGGCTACCTTCTCATTAAATCCATTATACCGAGTGAACGGCGATGAACTTGACCTGAACACGCCGGGCCGTCAGGCCGGCTTAGACAGATCGTTTAGGTGGAATCTAAATCATCCGCTTGCCTCCTACCCTTCCTTATTCTGCGCCCGTCGCGCCGAAAACGCGTTCTCGACCGCGTCACCGTTCCCCGGGACCTCTCCACGACTTCATTAGTACCTGCTGACTTTGGAATGCGCGGGATTTCGGATATCAGGAATGAGGAAAGTATGCGGATCCCGGATCTATACACACAACGCGCGAAATTGCTGCGTGAGACATCGCCATTGTGCCGACAAAGTCAAATTAAAGTAAATGGTACAACAAAATTATTTCCCAATAATAATGTTAGATGCTTTTGCTCGAAATTAAATGAGAAAATAATGTTACAGAACATTAATACGTAAAATATAAATAAAAATTAATATTTAATTTTCTATTCGGTTTTCTAAAATTGTTAATATATCAATTGATATTTCTGTTTCATAATACAAAGTTGAATAACATTTTTATAAATAAAATACGAATACATCAAATATGAATAAAAATTAATGCACTTCATATTCAATGTTTGTTAGAATTTAATAATAAAAATATATTTATATTTCTTCAAGTTCAAGAATCTTAACATTTCTTAAAATATTGAATAAAAGCATCTGTGGTTAAATTAATTATTAAAGTTCCTGATTATATTATCCCATGTTGATCAATCTTATCAAACTTCTGTTATCGTTTGTGCCACGAAAATAATCAATCCCCATTAATAAAACAATCATTAATTTAATTACCGCTTATGTGTTTCGTCAACTAAATACCGTCGGATAAATTTTCGCACAAAAACACACGCATTTCGTTAATTATCAGCTGCAATTTGTTAATCAACATTATCCGAGATTATCTGTCACCGTCATTCAAAACCACGAGACTCATTAGCAGGCGTTAATGAAACGGTCATTAATTTCATTACATATTATACACATTTAAACAAATTTTCGTCGCAGCCAAATTCAATGGCCATTCGCGCATCTAATAAAATTAATGTTCCAGGACAAATTTCATTCGGCATGGCACGCGCGTTTCGTTGATTGTTATCCACACTTCGTTAAATGGCATCATTAAGACTTACTTTCGTCGGCGCGATTTCATTATTTCTCTTTCTTATCATTAATTTAAGTACAAGTTACACGTCTTGTCAGCGCTTGCTCAGCATCAGTGTCGGCATGCCTTTTTTATATCTCCGGCCGAAAGAAGATGCCAAAACTGTCTTCTCATTAAATTGATTATACAACAGAGAAACAGCTCGCGTCACGGAGCGGCGAAAGCGAGAGATTCTTCGACCGCAATATGAATCACTCTCACGCTCATCTTTTTCCAACGACGCAACTCTATTAACATAAGAGCGGCTCCGCAGCTCAATTTCGTATCTCGTTTTTCGTTAAAAATTATTGTCGTTGA